ATAATAATAATAATAATAATAATAATAATAATAATAATAGTTTATTATTTATACCCCGCCCAGCTGGCTGGGCGTCCCCGGCCACTCTGGGCGGCTTCCAAAAGAATATTAAAATACTATAATACATCAAACATTAAAAGCTTCCCGAAACAGGGCTGCCTTCAGATGTCTTCTAAAAGCCTGGTAGTTGTTGTTCTCTTTGACATCTGGTGGGAGGGTGTTCCACAGGGAAGGCGCCACTACCGAGAAGGCCCTCTGCCTGGTTCCCTGTAACTTGGCTTCTCGCAGTGAGGGAACCGCCAGAAGGCCCTCAGTGCTGGACCTCAGTGTCCGGGTAGAACGATGGGGGTGGAGACGCTCCTTCAGATATACTGGACCAAGGCCGTTTAGGGCTTTAAAGGTCAGCACCAACACTTTGAATTGTGCTCGGAAACGTACTGGGAGCCAATGTAGGTCTTTCAAGACCGGTGTTATGTGGTCTCTGCGGCCGCTCCCAGTCACCAGTCTAGCTGCCGCGTTCTGGATTAGTTGTAGTTTCCGGGTCACCTTCAAAGGTAGCCCCACGTAGAGCGCATTGCAGTAATCCAAGCGGGAGATAACCAGAGCATGCACCACTCTGGTGAGGCAGTCCGCAGGCAGATAGGGTCTCAGCCTGCGTACCAGATGGAGCTGGTAAACAGCTGCCCTGGACACAGATTTGACCTGTGCCTCCATGGACAGCTGTGAGTCCAAAATGACTCCCAGGCTGCGCACCTGGTCCTTCAGGGGCACAGTTACCCCATTCAGGACCAGGGAATCCTCCACACCTGCCCGCCTCCTGTCCCCCAAAAACAGTACTTCTGTCTTGTCAGGATTCAACCTCAATCTGTTAGCCGCCATCCAACCTCCAACCGCCTCCAGGCACTCACACAGGACCTTCACTGCCTTCACTGGTTCTGATTTGAAGGAGAGATAGAGCTGGGTATCATCTGCATACTGATGAACACCCAGCCCAAATCCCCTGATGATCTCTCCCAGCGGCTTCATGTAGATGTTGAAAAGCATGGGGGAGAGGACAGAACCCTGAGGCACCCCACAAGTGAGGGCCCAGGGGTCTGAACACTCATCCCCCACCACCACTTTCTGAACACGGCCCAGGAGGAAGGAGCGGAACCACTGTATAACAGTGCCCCCAGCTCCCAGCCCCTCAAGACGGTCCAGAAGGATGTTATGGTCGATGGTATCAAACGCCGCTGAGAGATCCAGCAGAACTAGGAAACAGCTCTCACCTTTGTCCCTAGCCCGCCGGAGATCATCAACCAGTGCGACCAAGGCAGTTTCAGTCCCATGATGAGGCCTGAATCCCGACTGGAAGGGATCCAAATGGTCCGCTTCTTCCAGGCGTGCCTGGAGTTGTTCAGCAACCACTCGCTCAATCACCTTGCCCAAGAATGGAAGATTTGAGACTGGGCGATAGTTGGCTATCGTGGCCGCATCTAAAGATGGTCTTTTAAGAAGCGGTTTAATAACCGCCTCTTTCAGCGGGTCTGGGAAGGCTCCCTCACGGAGGGAAGCATTCACCACCCCACGAAGCCCATCGCCCAGTCCTTCCCGGCTAGCTTTTATAAGCCAGGATGGGCAAGGATCAAGGAGGCAAGTGGTTGGTTTCACTCGTCCAAGCAGCCTGTCCACATCCTCGGGGGTAACAGATTGGAATTGATCCCACACAACTTGACTAGACAGGACTCTAGCACTCTCCCGCCCCGGCCCTGCTCCCACGGTGGAGTCTACCTCTTCTCGAATCTGAGCGACTTTATCTGCAAAAACTTTGCAAAGTCATTGCAGGAGATCATGTGGCCGCTACTGGGCCCTGATGGAGCAGGTGGTTCCGCTAAATTGCGAACCACCTGAAAGAGTCTCCTGCTGCTGTTTTCCGCAGATGCAATAGAGGCGGTGAAGAAAGTCTTCTTCGCCGTCGCTATCGCCACTTGGTAGGCTCGACATTGAGCTCTAACCCGTGTCCGGTCAGATTCAGAATGGGTTATCCGCCACCGGCGCTCTAGCCGTCTCAACGATTGTTTCATTGCCCTCAGATCCGTGGAAAACCACGGGGCTGTCCGGACTCCATGCAATCGGAGAGGGCGCTTTGGAGCCAAACAGTCAATAGCCCTGGTTAACTCCACATTCCAGCGGGCCACCAGGGAATCAGCTGAAAGGCCATCAACATGGGATAAAACATCCCCTACCACTCTCTGGAAACCATTTGGATCCATTAAGTGGCGGGGGCGGACCATCTGAATCGGTCCCGCCTCCCTGCAGAGGGGAAGGGTCACGGAGAAGTCCAGTTGCACCAGGAAGTGATCTGACCATGGCACTTCTTTGGTTTCGCTTTTACTTAATGTCAGATCACCAACATCCATAGAGGTGAACACCAGGTCTAAGGCATGCCCGTGGCTATGAGTTGGGCCAGACTTATTCAGGGACAGCCCCATGGAGGCCATGCTTTCCACGAAGTCCCGAGCGGCCCCTTGTAAGGTCGTGTCGGCATGGATGTTAAAGTCCCCTAGGACAACCAAACTAGGTGTCTCCAGGAGGACATCCGCCACGACCTGAAGCAGCTCGGACAGGGAATCCTTGGTGCAGCGGGGAGGTCAGTACACCAATAGGAATCCTGTACTGCCCCTATTGCCCAACTTCCAGAACATGCACTCAGAGAACTGGGTCTTTCCAATAGGACGCCTGGTGCAAACTAATGACTTCCTAAAAATCACTGCAACCCCCTCCCCGCCCACAAGGCCTGGGTTGCTGTGCGTAAGAGAAACCTGGTGGACAAGCAGCGGCAAGGACGGGCCCATCTGCTTCATCCAACCAGGTCTCTGTCACACATGCCAGGTCAAATCCTCCATCCACAATCAGGTCGTGGATGGCAGAGGTTTTATTCATCATTGACCTGGCATTGCACAGCAACACTTTCAGGTCATGTGGGTTTCCCTTGTTGATTCCAGTATCCTTCCGGTCAGGACCAGACCTGGAGGCAGGGATAGTCCTCAAACAACGACTAAGCCTGCTTCCTCGGTAATGACATGGTCTGGTCTTAGCGTAACTCCTCCTCCTACCCGTGATCACTGAGATCGGTTGTCCGAGTGCATCCCCCCCTGTGGAACCTGCCCCAGCCATTTTGTTTGCTGGGACCCACTCCCAGGCAGCCCTGACCCCTCCCCTTAAAATCAAATTAAAGCCTATACAAAAATCAAACTAACAGAACAATAAAACTATAAAAACAAAAAACAAAATTACAAACACAACATAATTAAATTAAACAAATTCCCACACCCAACTAAACACCCACCCCACCCCACACACCCGAGGCCTCCCTGGAGCCCCATAAGCTGCGGAGGCGAGTATGGGGCCCGCCCCCAGGCCCAAGGTGGAAAATGGGCTTCAAGGGGGAGCGGTCCTCCCCAAGACTCACGGCAGAGCGGCAGCAGAAATTACCCATAACACCCTTACTAAAGGATCATACATCTGTCCTAACTATGTCATAAATTGGGAGGGGTCTTCTGGCAGAAACCTGACCTCCCCCTTCCAATCTTTAGGTGAAACAAAGGTAAGCATTTACATTTTCCTGTTTTCCCAGCCAAGTTAAGCACACCCTTTTGTCTTGACTGAGATCCCAATCCACTAAGGTTGGGTTTGGGATTGTTCTTGGAAGGACTACCTGTCTGGCACTCAGGTGCCAGGATGCCAGCGATTATCACCCAGGCAGTGGAGCCGATTATGGCTGCCCCTACCCATGTCCCAAGCTCCTCCCCTGTGAAATATACTCAGAGTCCTGTAGTGATTTCATACTCTTTATTGCAGCTTGTAAAACAGTGATTGAATTTTCCCCAAAACCTCAGGCTTTTATATACATTATTTACACAATGAGTCCCGTCTGATTGGCTGATTCTGCTTCCCTCCTAGAGCTGATTGGTCTTTTCCTGCAGGCCAATCAGTTGTTGCATTCTAGGATCCTACTTGCCTATTGTACTAGGATCCAAGCTTAGTACATAAGGCCTGCTAGCCATTTTCCTTCTGAGTAGAACAATGTTGGAATGGCATAAATCTGGGTCATGTGGTCAGAATGACTAAGCCGCTTCTGGCGAACCAGAGCAGCACACGGAAACGCCGTTTACCTTCCTGTTGGAGCGGTACCTATTTATTTACCTGCACTTTGACGTGCTTTCGAACTGCTAGGTTGGCAGGAGCAGGGACCAAGCAATGGGAGCTCACCCCATCATGGGGATTCGAACCACCAACCTTCTGATCGGCAAGCCCTAGGCTCTGTGGTTTAACCCACAGCACCACCCGCGTCCCTTTTAAAGTCTTAGATATATAATAAATGTTCACAAATGTACCAACCAAGAACGTACATAGATCAGCACAGGAAGACCGACCTGAAACTATTTTTGATTCCCAAACTGACCAAATGTTTTCTCTGCAAGGTCAAAGCGGGAAACCTCCCCATTGTCTCTTTCCTCACAAATCCTGTCTTAAGGACACATTTAAGATATGAATAGGGTGTGCGCCTGTGACCTGGCTCAGGAACTAAGTATTTATCATTACAAAAGACTGGCCAGGCTCCCCAGGGTATCCAATCAAGTAAGCATTAACAGGTAACCTGTCAGACGAGATAAACAACGCACTCAGATTTCTGTTGTAGACTGCCGTTTCTGTGATGTAGGTATGATGTCTCGGGGGGGGGTCTTGAGCTACACCCCTTGATGTAGGTATGATTTTTCTGGTGGTGGTTTTGGACTCCAAGGCGGGCAATTTAAAATGTCTATATAAGGGCTGACACACCTTTGTTCTTTTTTTAAAAAAATAATTTTTATTAAGTTTTCCATTTAACAATCCAATCATGTCACATTAATTATTCCAAATTATACCAATACATATAATAAAGTCCAAATATTTTGCCAAATTACAAATTTTTGTTGGGGGTTCCCATGCTTCAAGTTCAGTAAGGGTCCAGTCATCTCATATTTCTGCTGCTTTTAGTGTTCACCAGTCCCATCTTTCAATCTTCTTGTTGATATCCTTTTTCTTCTTAATAGCCTCTGAGTGTTTCCACAGGCGAGTTAAAGTAAACATTATTATGCTTCTGTGTGAACTTTGGAAGACTCTCCCTTTTTTTAAAGCTGGTAAGTCTTTTGTTTGCAATAAATCTTCACACGCTGATCCAGAAGTCCTGCTCGGGCAGCAGACACCATCTTTCTCAGTTCCGATGAAATAAAATCTAAGCATCTGCTCATTAATTTTCCCAGACAAGTTGCACCATAAATCAGTCTTTCCAGAGAAGATTTGCCATCGAACTTAGTCTGTCTCGTAATGGTGGATCCTGATTAAAAATTGCGTCACAAGAGAGCCTTTTATTTTCTTTCCAAATCTTTCACAAAACAAAGGCTTTAGTTGATATTTTTATTTCCACGCAGTTTATTTTCCAGTCTCACTTGCTATAAGTTGTATGATAATATCGTAGTTAAAAAAAAGGAAAAGTTCCCCCCCTCCTTTCCGTTCCGTTTCAACATACCGGGATAGATGTTATTCTTTAATGTTATCTTCTGTCCAGTCCAGTCCATCACTCTTAACTTCTTAGTGGCAGGCTTAATTAGCAGCTAACATACCCTTTTCTTCACTCAAAGCATGTGCAATAATTCTTATTTCCAATTTTTCATCTTAAGAAATGCAACTAGAGTTGCTCTCAGAGACAGCGTCAGGGAGATCCAAACTCACTCGAGGGCTTTCCGTCTCCTCTTTGGGGGGCAAACTGGGGGTTGATGCAGCTCAGTCATTGTCAGAGAGAGAGAGGTGTTCTGTGTTCTAGTCAATCTGCAGAGAGAGGCAGAAAGAGAAATGTAAGAGGCTTCATAATGCAGGGCCAACCACACACTAAGGAAACAGATCCTGAAGATTTGAGGCTGCTGGAGCAAAACAGGAATAAATCAAATCCTGTACACTACTGGATTGACACACATCCTACTTCCACTTTGGGCTCATCCACACTTCTGCTTGTGCATTAAGAACATAATACAGTGGTACCTTAGTTCTTGAACTCAATCCATTATGGAAATCTGTTCGACTTCCAAAACATTCGCAAACCAAGAGGCAGCTTCTGATTGGCTGATTGGCCCCAGAAACAGTGCCGACACCCGAAATGGGAGTTTGGCTTCCAAAGAACGTCTGCAAACCGGAACGCTTACTTCCGGGTTTGCGGCATTCGGGAGCCAATTTGTTTGGGAGCCAAGCCGTCCAGGAAGCAAGGTAGCACTGTAATGTAAGAAGAGCCTGGCTGCTGGATCAGGCCAAAGGGGGCCCACCTAGTCCAGCATCTCGTTCTTACAGGGGCCCATGAGATGCTTATGGGAAACCAGCAAGCAGGAACTGAGCACAAGAGCAGCTCTCTCCTCCTGCGGTTTCCTGCAGCTGACATTTGTGGGATGTGAAACACAAGAGCAGTCAAGTACAACCTTCCTAGAGTGAACATGTTTACACATTGGGAAGAATGTTTGTCCAGCCAGCAGGTAAACTTCCTGTTTCCTTCTGGGCTGGAACAGACTTCCTCTGCATGTGACTAGAGGTGGGTGTGGCCTCACCTGTGCAGGTAACAACAAAAGCACAGGGCAGGGCAGCCATCTCTCTCTCTTGGACGACATGCGTCAAAGAAGCAACATCTGCTTAGCCAAAGATGCCCTCTTGGCTTCTAGCCAAGAGAGGACAAAGGGACTGTCTCCTTATGAGATAGTTTCCAGGTGTATATAACTTTTCTAAGCTAAGTCTGCCTTCTGGGATCCTATTGTGAACAGAATGATGTGTGAGTAAACCTTTTTATACTTTTATAGAAGACTGTGCCATGTCTTATCTTTTATGAGGGAATAAGGGGAAAATACCAGGACAGTTATTCTAGAGGCTTTAGCGAGCCTGAGCAAATGCATCCACTGCAAGTTTAAAAAGGGGAATGTTACTCTGCTAAATTGTGAACTTGTTAACACAAGTTGGAAAGGCTATTATCAGACAATATATCCTCTCCTGCATCCCTGAACATTCCCACAACATTCAGAAGCATCGCTGGCCCCAACAGCAGAAATGTGTTATTCCATAAGATTAAAAAGATTAACAAGGAAAGAAGAATGCATAATTTGCCAACCCAACTCCAGTTGACATGTACTAGAGAGTAACAAAAGATGCTTCCTACCTTTGCGGTCTGACATTTGTTGCTTTTCCTACACAGGAAGACCCCCAAGAACACAAACAAGATGATTGATATGACTGGAACTGAGATGAGGGGATTCTGAAAAAGCCAGAGAATCAACCAGAATGCCCGGTTGCCTGAAAAAAGCAATTATTGTCTTTTCAGGGTGATTGTAACAAGACACCCACCAATACATGACCCCATGGGTGCTTGCTTCATCCCTCCCTGTGAGAAAGAGAAGAGGAAGGCTGGTTTTGACTTCTAAAGACCTACGTGGCTTAGATCCAGGTTACCCAAAATATTGTATTGGAATGAAAATATTAAATTTACTGCATGTACTACGTTAAAGGAAAATGTCATGAAAATGGTTTATAGATGGTATATTACACCTGTAAAACTTGCAAAAATGTATAAAACATGTAAGAAGTGTTGGAAATGTAAAGAAAAGGATGGTACATTTTATCATATGTTGTGGGAATGTAAGAAAGTGAAGAGCTTCTGGGAATTGATATATAATGAATTGAAAAAAATGTTGAAATATACATTTGTTAAGAAACCAGAGGCCTTTCTCTTAGGAATTATAGGAAATGAAATAAATAGAAAGGATTGTAAACTTTTCCAATATACAGTAACAGCGGCAAGAATATTACTGGCCCAGAAATGGAAACAGGAACAAGTACCAACATTGGAGGAGTGGAGAATGAAGTTGATGGACTATGCAGACCTTGATAAACTGACAGGGAAGATCAGATATCTACAAGATCAAAAGTTCATCGAGGACTGGGGAAAGTTAGTGGAGTATTGGGAATGTATAAGTGACAATGAAATAACGTTAGTGGCATTTAAAGAAGCTCTGTAAAATCCTAAGAAATATTGCAAAAAAAGAAAAACAGATGTGGAAGGGTATGTTAAAAGGCAATAGCAAATTTAGGAAATGTGTAATTAAAAAGTTTAATTCGGATGATTGTCAGAGAGGCTGAAGGAAGTCCAAAAATGAGAAAATTTGTCAAAGTTGTAATGTGGTGCGATATGTATTTTTATTGATGAAAATTAATAAAAAATATTATTAAAAAAAGAACACAAACAAGATGACTGGAACTGAGATGAGGGGATTCTGAAAAAGCCAGAGAATCAACCAGAATGCCCGGTTGCCTGAAAAAAGCAATTATTGTCTTTTCAGGGTGATTGTAACAAGACACCCGCCAACACGTGCCCCCATGGTGCTTGCTTCATCCCTCCCTGTGAGAAAGAGAAGAGGAAGGCTGGTTTTGACTTCTAAAGACCTACGTGGTTAGATCCAGGTTACCCAAATATTGTATCTCCCTTTACGGATCTGGCCGGCTGCTAAGGCCCTCAGATGAGCACCTCCTCTCAGTCCCATCAGCATCAGAGCTGGTGGTGACCTGAGAAGAGGCTTGACTGGCTCCCTCTCTGGTTGGCAGACTAAGACCTTCCAGTTCAGACAGGACTTTGGAAACTAAGGCACAGACACTGCTTGCCTGCTGGGCTGATATCAGGGAAAACTGCAGTTTTAATTGCTCGGGTCTTTTTTGTCAAAAAAATGTTATTTATACTTTTCAGATTAATGCATTTCTCCACTCACAATGACCGCTCCCCACATTAAATGGGGGGTGCCCTTTGTGTGGTCACACGCAGCCCCTGGACCCTATGCAGCTCCATTAGCACAGGCTTGGCTTCACCTTCCCCAGGTGAGATACCTGGAGGTCTCCGCCTATCTCAGCCAGTTGCCCAATCCTGCCTGGGGAGGCGTTGCCAAGGTGACCTGGCCAGGTAGGGGGAGGGACTAACTGCCCACGCAATAGAGGGAGGAGTCTGGGAATCTTCAGTGGGCTCC